CCAGCCATCCCCATGATCAACCTGGGCAGCTATGCCTGCTGCCCGGGGCCTCCTCTGGTTACCCTGTCCTCGTCCCCTCTGTCCAGATCCACTGGCCTGTTGTTGTGCAGGCTGTCTCACAACAACTGCTGGCTGTGGTGGGACGGGAGGCCTACCAGCTTGCCCCCTGCCACGATTTCTTCCCCCATGCTACACATAATAACCCTGTGCCTTATATACTGTGTTAGGCGTCGAACTCTGCCCTGTCCTCCTGTGCTGGCTTGTAGATTTGCCCTGACCACGTCCTTGGCCCTTCTGACTGCCGCTGCCCTCAGTTTTTCCACTTGTTGCTGGGCGCCTCGCCATCTGGGCGGCCAAGGCAGCATCTCTGGCCAACTGGAAAGCCTGACTAAGTCGTGTGGGCTTTCCCTGGGATACTAGCATCGCCTGGTCTTGGGGAAGACCCCAGATGAACATCCTCAATACCCACGATTCATCGTATGTGTTCACCTTATCCAGCTCTGCCTCAAATCTGCAGATGAACTCGTGGGTGCTCTCTCCCTTCCTCTGTTTTATGTTCATCAGGGCAGCCATCGCAGAATCTGCCTTGTTCCTACTCTGGAACCTGCAAATCAGCTGATCTGCGAGTGTCTCCCAATCCTTGGGGTATTCCCAGGCCTTCACCTTCCGTTGCCACCAGGTTTGTGCAGTACCCTGGAGCAACGTAGAAGCATATGCAACCTGCTTCTCAGGTGGCCCTCCCACCAGACGAAAGAAATTCGACACCTGCCCAACCCACATCTCTGGATCATCCTGTGTACGTCCTGAGAATGTAGGTGGGTTGCGGGGTTTTATTGTCATGTCAAATACCCCAGAGTTTATTTCCTCTCTACGTAAAGATCTGGTCCTCGATGGTGCAACTTCAGTAGATGCACTTGGCGAACGAGAACAATGGGAACCCCCTGAAGAGCGTGACTTTGACCTCGGTAGTCGAATGGTGTCAGCCATACTCAACCTCTGCTCTGGTCCAGTAACCTCCCTGATCCTGCAACTGTCTCTACTAAACCAGCTCTGATGTACACGCCCTCCTGCTCCTGCAACTCCATGATGTCCCTGTCTGCCTTGGTACACCGTCAAAACTGCTGTAGCAATACTGTATACTGCAACCCATCACTGCTGTCCTCTCACACAGCTGCAACTGTGTAGTCACTGGGTAGACCTGATCTTGGACTACTGACACTGATCCCCCTATCCAATGTAGTCTCTATCCTCCCCTTGACCTCTCAAACCAGAATCACCACGCTTCCGCTGGTTTTCAGGCACACTTTCACACACAGTTACCCTCAGTACTCTGTAGGGTAACCTCTCGGTTCCCCTAGTAACTTTCCGGAGGGTGCGTCTGTGCTTATTAATGTGCCCTAGTCCCAACTTCCACGCAGTAATCTAGCCTGATGTCCCGTGCCTGGGACGAGGGGAGTACGGAGAGGCGGCCTACTATGGCCATTCTGGGCTGGCCTGTGGCACCCCCAGCCTCGTCTATTGTGCTAAGATCTGCCCACCAAGCATCACCGGGGTGGGTCAGATCTGTGTACCTGAGGTGGCCAATGGGCTCACCTCGCCAGCCGGTTCCCTGGGGGATACCTGCCACTAGGCAGGGGCATCTCTAGACCCCGAAGGGCCTGCCTATTGCCGTGCCGAATCTCCCCCCAGTTCCCCTGAACTGGGCCCCAATCTTCCTTGCAGAGCGGCCTAGTTGTGGCCCGCCTGCAGTACCTGCATCACAATTTGAAGCAGCAGATTGACCTCCACTTCTAGGGCAGGTCCTTCACCCCCTTTTCTTAGGCGGGTGGTATCGGCTTGTTTCTTGGGGCCCTGCCCTCTTTCGGGCTTAGTCACCTGTCTGCTCCTTTTTCTGCTCCTTTCTGGTCGATTGGGGACTCCTGGCACACTGGCACTGCTCCTGGCTCGCTGGAACTGGCCAGTACCGGTGCTCTGGCACCGTAAAGTACTGGGTGCTTGGGCTGACTGGACTTCGCGTGTTCGGCTGTGCGTTGAGCGCCTGGCGCGGCTCCTCCGGGTGCTGGCCAGCTGCTGGTCACCCCCTTGGACGGCTCTCGCCGGCTCTCTCCGCGCGCCGGTCGGATGGCCCCGCCGATTGGCCGATCGGGGCGCGGGCTCGTCGGCCGCGGATCTCCCCGGCGATTCAGCCCCCGGATCGGGCTGATCGCCTCCGCGACCGCTGTTGGAGGGGCTGGTTCTGGCGCGGCTCTCCGCGGCGAATGGCGCCGCGCCTAATGGCTTTCTCTTGCCGCCGCGTCCTGCTCGGCTCCCGGCTTCGGCTCCGCTCCGAAACCAATTGTTGCGGCCCGCGGGCGGCCGCTGGTTTCCGGAGTTCTGGGGGCGGTCGCCGCACCCGATGGCGCGGCCTCGATGCCGCGCCTCTCCGCCGCATTGCGGCGGGCGTTGTCGGGGTGCTCGTTTCTTCGGTAGCGCGGTGGGCCCTTGGACGCTCGGGGACCTTCCCCGAAGCCTGCCGTGTGCAGGCGGTGGATTCGCGGCGGCGGACGGCGGTTCGCTGCCTCGCGGCGGGGCAGAGAGGGGGCCCGAATGGCGATTACAGTCTGACACAACGCGGCGCGCATCCAATGTACCTGCGCGATGCCCGGTCGCGGGTCCATCGCGTCACATCAGACAAGACAGCACAGTGTAATGTACGGAACATGTCCCAGCGCCTCCGGTCACCTATAATCATCCTAATCTATCTCTAATTCCAAACATCCCCACCCAGCACCCGGCCTCTAAGTACTGCATCTTCACGAGGCCGTATCTTCCTCAATAGACCTCAGAATTGAGTGCTGAAAGAAGTGTTGGAACCAGGAAGTCATAAGTAAACCGTAGAATGGGATGACTCAGCGAGATTACGTAATACAGCTGCAGAAAATATCATTTACTGCCTGTCCCAAAGTAGCTCCACAACAATGTGAATTACTGGACTATACACCTTTCCTCATCAGGTCAGGCAGTCCAGATGGTCTTTCTCAGACCAGGGATGTGCTAGCTAGGCTCATCCCAATTCACCCACCCAGCCTGGGCCCTTGAGGTCCAGGACCTCCCAGAATCGTCTTTGAACCCAATCAGTCTGGGGAGCTGACTGGTGACACAGATCTGTTGAGAACACAGGGTGGCATCTTATATCCAGCCCTTGTCTCCCTAACCTTACACCGCCCTCGTTCTCACTCCTAAGGTTTGCAGCTGTCCGCTCATAACCCATTTTCGGAGTGTTTCCTCTTTGTTTTCTTTTTCTTTTTCTTTTTAATTCAGCAATGGTGGGATACTCGGGCCATCCTATGCAGTGCATACAGCGCATACGGCAGATACCCCTCGTACGCCAATTACATAAGTGATCCACCCAGTGAAAACGGTGGTCATTATGTGGCGTCACGAACAACGCGGAAAATAGTTCGCGCAGGAAAAAGTTCGCGCACTCGTCGGTGCGCGAACTTTTTTCCGCCGCGAACTTTTTTCGCCCGTGAAAGTTTTCGCCGCGCGGACATTTGGACCGCGCGAACATTGCGGGACCGGGCTGCTGCCGCCCTGACCATCGCCAGGGGTGGCGCCGTTTCTTATTGTGCTGCGCCGCCCCCCGGCCGCCGTCCTGACCCTCCGGCTGCCGCAGACGAAGAGCACGAGCGGCCTGGTCAGGGAGATTGCACCTCCTCGCTGCCAAGATTCGGCTGGCCAATGGCCACCAGCGATCGATCTGGCGCGAGCGATCTGCCCGCCAACTCAGGGCTCCTTCGGGGCAGTCGCTGGATGGGGGCTCGAGCTAGGCTTTTGCAGGACTAGAAACTGGGAGGAGAATAGAGCCGCCTGGTCAGGGAGATGGCACCTCCTCGCCGCCAAGATTCGGGTGGCCAATGGCCACCGGCGCGATCGATCTATTGGGCAGCTCAGGACTCCCTCGGGGCATTCGCTGCTCGTCGAAAGACCGCCGCACGGGGCAGTCGTCATTGTGCAAGGCCAACGGACCACAGCGCGGGAAGCGCCCGACCCATTTGGGAGGAGGCCGAAAAGCTCGCAGCAGAAAAAAGTTCGCAGGGGCAAAATGTTCGCACGGAAAAAAGTTCGCGCAGTTGCTCGAGCGCGAAATGCGCGAACTTTTTAGTTATACAGTAGTTTTTTGCGGCCTGCATGTCCAATGCGGCTGCCTGTGCAGAGGCGAATGCAGCCTCTGCACCCCACAACCTATGTGGGACAGGCGTTCTTCCATTCTCTGCCACAGTGTATGCTTTAGCACAAGGGCGTGTTGCAATTGGAAAAAGTCAGTGTGGGCACAGCGTTAGTGCAGTTTATGCAATGTTGTAATGTGATAGAGTGTGTTGCAATTGTCGTGAACATCTAGCTTTTGCAAAGCAGATGAGCAAGGGATGCAATATGTATGCATGTTTATGTATACTTTCGAAGATGCCACAGTACATGCACTCCAGGCAGTCATTCACTTGAGAGAATTCTTGAACATGGCCGGTGGAAGTCCCAACGGCCAGGAGTCTGTCCTGCATCTCTGGAAGAATACTTGTGACTGCCATTTCGGACTGAGGCAATGACAAATGACTGCCCCAAAATCGCTTTTTGTGTGAAAGCATTGGATTTGGCTTTTGCAAATGATGCTATGGACGGATAAGCTTCACTCACCGCACGTTGCCAACTGTTGCCGGTCACCTGCTTCCTTGCATCTCCATCAATTATTGGCCAATACCTTTTTAGTGTTATGAGGCCCGCAAATGCAAATATACCATTTGCTCAGTGCTTTGTAATGGCAGTGCTGCTCTTTGACCCGGCACTGTGGGAGCACCTCGCTTCTCTTGGCTGCTGCTGTGACCAGCGATTTGTCCTTCTGCAATGGACACCTGCAGGTGTCCATTTTAAGTGCACATCAACAACTGTCCTGTGCTCTACTGTTTCTGTGCTTTGCTGTTTGCTGTTTGCTTTTGTCTGTTTTTCTGTTTTGTGTTTTGTGTTTGATGCTTTTTGTTTGTTGTGTGCGCTATCTGCTGTGCTTGACGGTGCTTGCTGACCTCGCTCAACCCCGCCCGCAGATCATGGTCCCCCCCGAGGGGGCCCGGTACCTGGTGGCGTCGGACGGCCTGTGGGACCGCGTGTCCCAGGCCAAAGTCCACCGCGCCGTCCGGTCCAAATCCCTGGACAAGCTCCCCGCCTACTTGATGTCGATGGTCAACCGATCATCGGGCGGAGTGCTGCGGGACGACGCCACGGCCATCGCCGTCGACATCCTCCCCTCCCGCTGCGCGGATTTCAAGCGCATGATTACGCACCGGCGCCGGTCACGCTCGCGTTACCCGCGTCTGGCGCGCCTGTGCGCGGGGCCCGTGGAAATTGATGATCTGAGCAGCCTGCTGGCCGACGAGGACGGGCTGCTTGCCCGCGGCTTTGGCCGCTTGGTGCGCAAGAACACGATCAGCTTCGACCTGGACAGCGCGCCCGAGGCGTTTAAGAGGGAGGGCGACTTCACGGTGCACGGCGGGAAGGAGAACGCCAGGGGCCGGGCGCCAAAGCCGCCCACGAGGGTGAACACCATGTCGTCGGCCCTGCCGCTGTGGCTGGTGTGTGAGGCGCGGGCGGGCAGCATGTGAACTTGAGCGATTCCAGTGGGCATTGGAGCAGATCTCCATGGGAGTCGTTGGAATCATCGCTGGCGTCACGGCTGGAAACCTGGCTGGAGTCGTTCCAGAAAAATACCCAGGAACGGTGGTGCAACATGGCACCACGAAGGACCGAGTCTTGTGCCATTTGTCCCAATGGTGTCCATAATTTGCTCCATTGTTCGTGGAGTATGTCGCGAAGTTCAAACCAGGATGGAGGTCCAGGCACGCTTTGTGGCGGCCTGTGGGTTGGCCCGGACTGAGAGCGAGTTTTGTACACAACGGGGGACTCCCTGGGCGGTGTTGGTTGTGTTCGCTGGAAACGAGACGTTGAAGCCGTTGTGCCACACTTGGCTCGAAACGCTTTTGGACAGGAGTTCCCGAGCAGAACAACGTGTGTGCAAGAGCGAGCAGTAGTGCCATAGTAGAGGGTCCAAGGTGAAAGCGTACACATGGCCCCATGCTGAGATAATGGGCCTACCGGAAAGCCTGGGGTTCGCTTGTCACCTATCTGGGACGATACGACAGAATCGCAGGGATGGCAAACGCGAAGTGCCGAATTCACATGCAACATGCAGTCAACTGCCAGCGACACACCAGAGACACGTGCAGTTGACAACCAAAGGCAGCCGAATCTCTTCTTACAAGCTGTTCGGATACATGCCTACTGCCACCCTTCACCCATACGCCCCACCAACAGCCGGAGCGAGAGCAAACAAGAAGGGCAGCCGGATACCCATGCCCACCACAAAAATAGCCTCCCGGATCTCAAAAAGGGTCATGGGACATCAAAGATTCCCCCATACCCCGGATCATTACAATGTCAATTCACTGATATAATCCTAACTTACAGTCCCCATCACCGCCAACCATCCCCCTCCTCTCAGATTCCCAGATCAAAAATTTCTGTACGCCAGCGCCTCCCACATCCCCATGCCATGACTGCCTCCCAAATCCTAGCCCTATCGGGTTCCACCCGCGACATCCTCCGAACCTGAATGGCCCACAGCTGCATGTCCAGCTCCAGCGTTGAAACCCGAAGACGGTTGGCCGTATCCCTATCGAACGCCTCGAGAACATCACCCGGCATCTGATGACTAGGGTCGGATTCCCGCCAAACTGTCTCGACAGTGTCCCTCCACCTGTCCGCAATCGCCTGCGCCCCCGCCCCCGCCTGGCGCACCAGCATCTCGGCGAAGTCCAGCGCGTCTATGACTTGGGCCGCGCTCCACTCCCTCTCTCTCTCCGCCTCTGACACATGGTCCGGCGACGGATCGTCTTGTCGCTCCGCCCGTCGCTCAACCGCTCGGCGCATCGATGCGATTTCATCAGGGGATCGTATCCATACGCCTCCCACCGTCATATCGCACGGACACAATCCCCACGTCGCGAGTCGACGAAAACTGAGATGGAGACGGGCCGTCTCGGCAAACACGCACTCCCAACGATTCCGTATACCCATGCAACCACTCGGCCGCACTACCCGGACATTCCGCATGTCCCATATCCGGCTGAGCCTCGAGAGTGTCACGTCACACCGTCTGAGATATCGTATGTCCCCTCAATGAACAGTAACGTCAACATCAGTCACCCTCCGTGCCCAGCACGGCATATTCAGTCAGGTCAGGTCAAAGGCCAACACCTCACCTGGTGCGCAAGCCAGCCACACTACAGGCGTTCATGCGGACCTGTACTCCATGCTACGATTCACATGGATTCTTGTCCCCCGTATGCAACTGGGTAGTCCGACAAGCATCACGCCCTCCCTGTACCGCACTAACCGGTACCCGGGGTTACCGACAATCCCCCTACAGTAACCGGCCCAAGAGGGCTACGGTTACAATAGTGTAGGGGTTAGAGTGCACAGACCGGCACTAGGGCGGTGGCCACCGGTACCTGGGGTACCCCCAGGTACCGGCGCTCGGGTGTGGCCCCAAGTACGTAGTACTTGGGGTCCGGTCCTGGGTCCCGGCTTAATGGCCTTCGAGCGCCCGCACCGGTAGCTCTCTCTCACCCCCTGTTGCGCGCTGCCGCGCAACATCTGGTTTCGGAGCCGGGTTCTCGCGAACCCGGCGGCCTTTTTCAGCCCCACCCACCCCTCGCGGTGCGGCCCCCCCTCCTCGATTGCAGGGCCGCTCCGCCTCCCTCCGATCGTCGCCTTCGCCGAGTTCAAGTCCTCGCCATCGCCATGTCCGAGGAGGCGACTTCCAGCCAGCCCATCGGCGGCGACGGGGACGATCGGCCACTACCGGCCGTTTCTGCGGCGCAGCCGGGCGGCGTGCTCTCCACGCAGCCGATCGCCTCGCCCCTCCAGGCCCATTCGGCCGAGGGGGGCACCATTTTCGAATCGGTGGGGGGGGAGCTGCCCCCCACCTCCATCCCTCCTAGAGCGAGTACGCCCCCGCCGGTGCGCCCGATCGTTGGGGCGCCCGATGCTCTGTCTCGCAGCCCGAACCGGCCCCCTCGCCCCACTGTTTTGGGGCCGCCTGCACTGCCTAATGCCCACGATCTGGCCGGACAGCTCCTGCCATTTTTGGAGGAGCATATCCGGCAAATGTTGGCGGGCGTGGGTCCCTCCAGCCGCCTGCCCCCCTCGCCGAATTCCGGTCCGATCACGGCCCCCACCCCTACCGCCCCGCTGCCCATTCTTTCGGCGGCTGAAGGGGGGGCCCTCTCGGGTTCATTGTCTCCAATTCCCTCCGCCTTGGCGGGTTCTGTGGCGGCCTTGGCTGTGGCCCCACCCGCCTTGGGATTGGAGGCATTCTCCCATCTTGGGGCCCCGCTGAATCCCCCGATCGGCTCCCTGCTGCCTGCTGGCTCGGGATCCCGGGGTACCTTGTCTCCGATTCCCTCCTCCTTGGCGGGTTCTGTGGCGGCTGTGACTGTGGCCCCACCCGCCTCGGGCTCGGAGGCGCTCTCCGGTCTTGGGAGCCAGCTGGGCCCCCCGCTTGGCGCCTTGCTGCCTGCTGGTTTTGGATCCCGGGGTGCTGCCTTGGCTGTGCCGCCCCTCTCTGCTCTCCCCCAGGTTGCCCCGCCATCCCTGGGATCGGCGTCCACCGACGAGCTCTCTCGCCAGGTGGTATTCCTTCAGGGCCAGCTGTCCGCTCTAGAGGCCCACCCTCGCGGCTCCCTTGCTGGCGCATCGGGCTCCCCTCCCCTGCCTCGGGGGGTGCCTTCCTTGCCGACCTTCTCTGGCGATCCCAAGGGCGATCGTTGGGACCAATTCCTGGTCCACTTCGACGCCCACTGCCGCCTCTGCCACCGTGACCACGACGACGCCTACCGCATCAACCTCCTCCCGGTCCTCCTCAAGGGGACCGCGGCGGCTCATTGGCGCCTGCACCTCCAGGCGAATCCCGCCCCTGCTACCTGGGAGGAAGCCCAGGCTGTGATGCGGTGCGGTCCTTTCGCGCGTCCCCCCACCCTGCTCGGGCTCACACTCCAGATCTAGGAGTTGGCGGCCCGGCCCCCTGCCACCGTCTTTGAGTTCCTCACGCGCATGGACACGCTTTTCGGTGAGCGAGGCGCGGCGGGGGCTGCTGTCCCCGAGATTGATCGAATCTTCTGGATTTACAGTGGCCTTCCTGAACCGCTCCGCGCCCGTTTGTTGGCCGACCCTGCGGGCCAGGCTTGGGGGGCCCAGTCGCACCAGCAGTTCTGCCAGCTGCTATGGTCTTTCATTCATCATGACCCTGCTCTGGGCCGGATTGCCAGCCGTTCGGGTTCTGTTCGTCCTTTGTCTGTGAGTGACCGACCAGGTGATCGTTTCCTGACGGGGAGCAAGCGCCCCTTTGATGGCGCGGGGCCTTCCCGCCCTCCCCTTCGCAGCCGCCGTGGTTCCGATCTCCCACCTGGGGATTTGGCTGAGGGTGTTCCCCTGGCGGGCCGCCTCCCCATGCCCTCTGGCTCGCCACCCGTGCCCGGGGTCCACATGGAGCTTGCGTCTGGTGCTGGGAGGAGTACACCCAGCCCCGCCGGCGGAGCGACCCGCCTCACTGCGCCTTCCAGCGGGACCACCGTCGCCGCCTGCCCCCTCCGGACTGGCTGGTGAGTCTTCCTGCCTTTACTCACTGGTGCTCCCGATTATCTGTCCCCATTGGGCTTGTGGCACCTCTGTTGAGCACGGGCCCGCCTTCTGCCCCTCCCCCGCCTGCTGCCTCCTCGGGACTCTTTGATCCCCCTCTCTTGCCTTGCTGTTCTGCGACGGATCCTCGGGGGGCGCTTGCTTCTTTGTCGCTTCCCCCGCTGCCTCCCTTGGCCCCTCTTCCGTCCTGTTCCGTACCTCCATCCCCGTCTCTCGGGGGTCCGGTATCGTCTCCCCCCCTTCTCGATCTTGTGTCGCGTTTGATCCCGCTCTCCTCCTCCGCGGCCATCTCTTTGGGCCATGTTGGCTCCCCTGCCACCCCGGGATCGGCTCCTGCTTTGGCCTCCCTCTCCCCCTTGGGGGCCGTATCCCCTTTGGGTAATTCGGGTTCTGCCTCCTCGCCTCCCCTCGCGACACTTGTGTCCTCGGTGGCCCCTCCTCCTTGGACCGGGCCGTCGGGATCCGATCTTCTGCGTTTCCCTCCCGCCTTGCGCGCTCTGCCTCTCCTTACGGCGCTCGTTCCCGGCGCGCCTCCTGCGGCCGCTGCTCGGCCCTGGCGCTTGATCCAATCTGATCTGCTCACCCACCGCCGCCCTCGCTCAGGTTGTGCGGCCCGCCCCTCCTCCCCTCCCCCGCGCCCTGTGTCAGCCTCGGCTCCCTCGCCCGGATCCTCTCCGGCTCGCCGGGATTGGTGGAATCGCGAGGATCGTGCCATCTTGCGCCCTGAATTTGTACGCATCGCTCAGCGGGTGGGCCGGGCTTTCACTCTTGACGCCTGCGCCGATCCCCTTAGCCATAATGCCATGGTCCCGAACTTCTGCTCCCCCACCCGGGATTTCCTTCGGGAGTCTCTGGCGGGCCACCATGTTTGGCTCAATCCCCCGTTCAGCCGCATGGACGAGTTCAT